GTGTGAGTCATGATTGGTTGTCTTGCACAATGCAATAGCCTGCATGGAGAGTCAAATATTATTTTGCTGCCTTTTTTGAGAAACGAAAAATGATTACCTCAATTATTCACCTACTTTCCTGCCGAGAGCAATGCAAACACTAGAAATGAGGATGTGAGACGCATGAACGACCGACTTTCTGTTAACGGCTCGGCAAGGCTTTTTGACGTACATCCAGCCTTTTATCATCGTCCGACCCCAAACAAAAATTAAGCGAACTGAGCTAATCTGTGGAGTATCAGTATTTTATTCCTTTCTTTTCTTTTTGTCTGTCGATTCAAACGCGCTTCCTACCAGCTGGACATTGGTCACCAGCACGGGTGACCAATTTAAATTACATACACTAAATAGACTACGAGGCCATGGTGAAAAAAAAAAACTAAAAACAAAAAGCGTCAATAGGGAAACAAACTGCCTTTTTTTGCCATAAAGATTTAACAAACCTGTACTTTATCATCTGTTGTAGCCACACCCTCCTCCTCCCCTCAAAAAATAACTAACAGGGGAAGGGGTGGGGAGAATTGGCTCCACTTTGGCTAGCATTGTTAAGTTATAAAAAGTGCCGGTTTTACCCATAAAACCTTGCTTTTGAGACTTTTTTTTCAGCGTAAAAAATGGACACTCTAATTAATGTTTCGAGTAGCTTTATCATTACGTGGTGAAGGGTAAAAAATTGTTAAGTATTTTCACTGTTCTTTACCGATGTTTACGACTAAATGCATCAAGGCCGGGAAACACGTACACACAGACAAAAATAGTTTTTGCGGTGGCCAAATCAAAGAGCTCGGACTGTTTCTAAGTGTCAAATACAGATTATATACTTCTTTTAACCATTTGCTGAAATTGGATTAAGTACAAACTTCAGCACAACAGAGGCAAGTAAGTGATCCGCGGAATTTCGTACCCCCAAGCACCCCGTCTGTTATGTATATCTCAGATTTCGCTGAAGCACAGGATGCAAAGGCTATTAAGCAACCTTTGATCAGAGCAAAGCCGTGAATTCAGGAATCTACTTTTCATCGGTTATAGATTTATTTCAAGTAGGCTGTTCTTTAAATTATATTGCTCCAATGTAATCTGTTACAAAATTATATTAATTCGCCCGGTACTTAAAACTTAAGATAATCTCTCAAGATATCTATTTTATTCGCTTCAAGGCGCCATAATTCCTTACCGCATATGAATTGGTGATGAAAAGTTAAAAGGCTTTGTTTTCGTATGTCAGTGTGTTTTCTATTTTTCTCTCAGTAGTCGTTTAGGCACTTGATCCTGGACTGATATATATTTCGAATATCTTTATCTAGTTGATATCAGCCTCTACCGACTTTTTCTACGAAATCAAATCAAACGTGCACCGAGGGGATGGAAAAATGTAAGTGAGAGCTTTACAATATAATAGCATCGCAAAACAATACAGGTGTTGTAGGCGAATAAAGTGATTTAATCGACTGGAAGACTCGGGTAGATTACCTGATGTTATGGGAGAACTTAAATCTCTTTGAAAATAGATAATAATGTGTTTGATATCTCCTTAGCTAGAGGGAGACTGAGAAAAAAAAAGCTGACTTTTTCAGGGATGATCACTTAATTGCCAGCTCAACAACATGAATACCTTGCTTTGCCTTGATGTAATCGTGGTTTGGGCGATAATTCAAAAATTGAAAACAAGTAACTCTTGACAGTGTAAGAGGTAATTAATTGCAATACGAGACTAGTGAGCCGTGTGAGCACTTGGACTGAATGACAATTCATCATTTAGTACAAACCTACTAAGTATTTGTTGGTATAAAAGATATTGGCAATTACATCTCAATAACCTATATACTGCTCCTTAAGAAAACAAATTCTTTGTCTGCTATTTTCAGTAAAAACAATTTAAAGACCTCTTTTGTCTGTCAGATTTTTAAGGACCTTTAATATCGCTAAAAGTTCTTATGTAATAACCCCGGGCCCTCAGGTATCGAATCATGCAATAATGTACTCGGTGTTTGGTACAGGACTGTAACATGATGTAATACACCTGAATTTATTCGGAGCCGGGTTAATAAACTGTGCCTGAAAATGCTGGAAGCTAACAATAAAGCATACTTTCTAAGCATCTCCCTTGGGCCTAACAATACTTATGCAAAGCTAGCATTAACGTATTCTCAACAGACTGATCAACGCCATCTATTTGATATATCGGCAAAAAAGAGACAATTGAAAATGATTTTTAAATGGCTTGTTGACTGTATGCGGTATAAGGCGGTATAGTCTAGGTCGTAAATATTGCGCTTACATTCTGGGCTAAATTGAGGGGATTAAATCGGTATTAACGTACATTTTAATCGCTATTAAAAGACTTATAAAATGGTAGTTGAATTCGTACATACTATGGTGCATTCATGTTTCGGATTACAGTCTTTTTAGCCGGTTATGCATTTAAGCCAGCATATTTCATGATCATCTGTCTAAAAAGATAACTGATGAAAAAAAGGAAATTAAGATTCTTATCAGAATTGTCTATTCAAGCGTCTATAATATTGCTACCCATAGGGATCGAACGTTTTATTACCCATTAAAGTAAGTTGTTTTTGATGCATGGTTGTTTGCCAAACAATATCTTTTTCATTTGATGAGTAAATGAAGACAGTCTTCATATAATCTGAAAAGATATTCACGTTATAAGCAAGGGGGAGGTAAAGCCGACAGCAATTATAAATTATATTAACACGGCTCCGTGACTTCCGACAAAAGAAAGCATATTTATGCTTCATGTTCCTTTACATATTACGAAAGTTATTGATGTTGGCGGAGTCTCGCTTTGGGTGAGCTCTGTTTGCTGGGACACAAATAATCACAAACCCATTATGGGATATTTTGGCCACGGGAGTGGCCGTTTATTAAATTAAAGCATATAAAGCTGGGAAAACCAGATACATAAGAACATTATACCAGCAAAGGTGAGGGCACACCCGCCAC